CCACTCACCTCAGCCTCCCAAAGGCACGGGATTACAGGCTGAGCCACTGATCCCGGCTTCCGGCTCGTTTTCACATTTTCTTTTTCTTTTTTTTTTTTTGAGTCGGAGTCTCCCTGTCACCCAGGCTGGCGTGCAGTGGCACGCTCACAGCCACCACAGCCTCGACTTGCTGGGCTCAGGGGATCCTTCTGCCTCAGCCTCCCGAGTAGCTGGAACTATAGGCACATGCCACCACACCTGGCTAATTTTTTGATTTACTATAGACACTATTTGCCCAGGCTGGTCTCGAACCCCTGAGCTCAGGCTCAGGCAGTTCTCCTCTCGCCTCCGCCTCCCAAAGTGCTGGGATGACAGATGTGAGCTACTGTGCCTGGCTTATATTTTCTCCTTTTCTTTTCCTTTTTTTTTTTTTTTTTTTTTGAGTCAGGGTCTTGCTCTTCCACCAACGCCAAAGTGCAGCGGCATGATCATGGCCACCACAACTTCAGCCTCCCGGGTTCAGGCGATCCTTCTGCCTTGGCATTCCGGGTAGGTGAGGACTATAGGTGAGCACCACCACACTCAGCTACTTTTTAAAATTCTTGTAGAGACAGGTCTTGCTATGTTGCCCAGGCTGGTCTCGAACTCCTGGGCTTAAGTGATCCTCCTGCCTCAGCCTCCCAAGTTCTGGGATTACAGGCGTGAACGACCACACTTGGCCATGTTTTCTTCTTTTTCAGTGGAAAAATGAGTGAGCATTGTGGAAGCTTGGGTCCTGGACAGGAAGGCCATGAGACAGGAATATCTGAAGGGGATTCAGACACGTGTGCTCTGACTTTTTGCAGTAGTGACCCCAGGGGCACCAAGGAGCTCACCTGGCAGACAGGGCATCACTTTCTGTCTTCCTGGCTCTCCTTTCTTGAGGGGAGGCCTGGACGAAATGGACAGGAAAGCCAGGCACTCGCCTGGGGCAGTGGTGGTGCCAGGTAGCTTCCAGCCCACTGTAGTTGTCTCTGGATTCACCCACCGAGGGGAAGTGCCCTTGACAAGGGCGGTTGTGGGCGGCTGCTGCCTACATACTCCATGGTGGGGGCAGTCATGTTGCCGGCCCTGCCCGAGTCCGGGACATGCCCCCCTCCCCCACATTCTGGGCTATGAGACCATCTGCGTAGGTCTCTGCCACCATGGGCCCTGTCAAGCCTGCACAAGTTCTTTCCACCTCAGGACTCATCCTGAGACCCAGGTAGGACTCCACTGTGCATACCTGGGGGCCCACCTGAAGAGAAGTCCCTGTGGGTTAGAGGCTCTGTCCTTTCTTAGTAAGAAGGAAGGACTAAGGAAATGGGCTGCCTGGGTCTGTTGCCCTCCTCCCACTGGCCCCGGGGCCCATCCTCTGAAATGTTGTGGCCACAGGGGGGCTAGGGTCAAGGCTCCCTCAGATCCCTCCAGGGCTGTGGCTGCCAGGGACAACTATCTCCTGGTGTGGCCTGGCTGCCTGCCCAGCCCTTCTGAGCAATTCCTTCCTTCCCTGCCTCATTCTGGGACACAGCCCCCTCAGGCTCTGCCTCTTGGACCCCAGGCCTTGCCTCCCGCCCGCTCATACTGTCTGCACCCTGCAAGGCCCCGGGGAGACCCAGGTCTAAGTGTTGTTCCCACAAGCATAGGGACGTGTCTGTCAGATCAAGTTCTCCTGTCTGGCAGCCGCCTGGGCTTAGAGGGCAGCCAGATGGAAGTTTCCATGAAAAAGAAACAAGGGCTTTGGAGCTTAGGGACTGCCGGGGGAACCGGGCTCCAAGGCCAGCAGAAGCCTGGGCAGGTGGAGGAGAGGCGTGAAATGGGAAAGGCTGGGAAGGGAAGTGACAGAAGACAGAAGACAGCCACATCGCCAAGGCGACTTGTGAACACCTTGCTGAGCCCACCCGGCCAACGGGCGGGCAGGCCAGTGTCAGCACAAGCGACGCGGGGTGACAGGTGCTGGGTGATTGGGCCAGTGGATGCGACAGACCCTTTTTCTGCTCGGACTTCTGTGCAGGTCCCTTGTGATGAGCACAAGGCCCTTCCCTCATGGTCACTCCACTTGGACTTGGAGTCAGGGGCGTCCAGGGCCCCTCACTCCGAGCTGTCCCGTGGACAGGGTCGCCCTCTGGCTTCTCTTGTCTCTCGGGGCTGGCTCAGCAGTGACACTTTCCCCAGTCACTCCCTCCACCATTCCTTTGATGGATACTCACAGTGCCCGCAAGGTGCTGGACACTTCGAGGGTGGCAGGACAGCAATGCACAAAGACCTGGCCGCTGCCCTCCAGAGCTCCTGTTTGGCGGACGGCACCCTCTGTCCAAGGCTTATGACGTGCCATTCTCATGCCTCCAGGACGCCCTCCCAGCGCTTATCCCGTGCTGTGTAAACCGGAAAAATGACTGAGTGTCTCAACTGTTTTGAGGTTGATTTCACCAAGGTTTAGGATGTGCCCGGGAAAAAAAGGAACAGAAGTCCCAGCAGCATCTGGGATCCATGCATTTTCTTGCATGGGTTCTGGCGGTGTTGGAATAGAAAGGGAAAGAGTGGGAAGGAGAAGGTGGAGGTAAAAAGGAAAAAAATAGGTACGGGGTGGGCAAAAGACCACATTTGTGCGAAGGCCTTGAACGTGACTCAGTGGATTTGCATTTGACATAGGAAAGAGGGAGCGGAGAAGCAGTCCATTTTGTGTGTATCTCCGCAAATCTACATTTCATGTGAGACAAACATGTGGAGCGAAAGAGTATAAGAAGACCCTGCGGGACTGCCTCAGGCCTGTCCACCGGGGATGTGTATCCTGAGTGAGTTCAGGGCCCACAGGGAATGTCCTTGCAGGCAATCAGAGGGGAAGGCCGTTTGGGAGACACGCAGCCTCCCCTGTGGCAGCCCTTGTCTGGGAGGAAGCTTTTGTGTGACCCATTTCCCAGCTCAGCCTCCCCGGCACGGTGAGTCTGGGGTCCCCAGATCCGTGCTCTTCCTCAGATACTAGCAGGAGTGGTATCCCGGCCCCCGTCTCCCCGGTGCTTGACACCATGCTAAGTGCCAGCGGCAGGCACTCATTCCTCTTTTTTGAGTGGGGGTCCCACTCTGTCACCCAGGCTGGAGCACAGTGGGGCTATCACGGCTCATCACAGTCTCCATTCCCTGGGCTCAGGTGATCCTTCAGTCTCAGCCTCCTGAGTAGCTGGGACTACAGGTGCCTGACAACACACCCAGCCATTTAAAAATTGTTTTCTGTAGAGACGGGGTCTCACTATGTTGCCCAGGCTGGTCTTGGCCTCCTGGGCTCAGGCAATCCTTCTGCCTCGGCCTTCCAGGTAGCTGGGACTACAGGTGCCTGTCAACATGCCTAGTCATTTTTTTTTTTTTAATGGAGACAGAGTCTCACTATGTTGCCTAGGCTGGTCTTGAACTTGGGCTCAGGCTATCCTTCCACCTTGGCCTCCCAAGTAGCTAGGACTACAGGTACCTCGCAACATGCCCAGCCACTTTTTAAATTTTTTTGTGGAGATGGGGTCTGACTATGTTGCCTAGGCTGGTCTTGATCTCCTGGTCTCAGGTGATCCTTCTGCCTTGGCCTCCCAAGTAGCTGGGATTACAGATGCACACTATCATGCCCGGCTAATTTTTCTATTTTCTCTAGAGACACAGTCTCGCTATGTTGCCCAGGCTGGTCTCAAACTCCCAGGCTCAAGCAATCCTCTCGCCTTGGGGATTACAAGCATGAGCCACTGTATCTGACTGACTCTCATTTCTTCACAGAAGGTATGTGGGGTGGCAGATCCTGTAGGCCAGGCAGAGGCTGGGCCACGCATGGCAGCACGTGTGTGACCTCCACCTGGCTCTACGACCCTTTGGGGTTGCCGGTGCAGTCGAGAAAATGCATCTCTGTCAATGCAGACTGCACTGACCTTGCGGGCACACGACTGTTGCATGGAGTGTGGTCACCTGGGATGGTTGGAGACACCACCCCTGCCGGGCACACAGTAGGCGCTAAGGCCAGCTAGGAGTGTTGTGGGAGGGCAGGAGGGTGTCATATGGACCCCGCTATCCGATCCCGAGGCTGGGCGCCTTGTGGTGCGAAGCGCACCAGGGCCTCCAGCCAGCCAGCATGGGCTCAGGTTACGGCCAGGAGCTGGCCGGGCACAGGGGGAGCCCTCCCGGTGCACAGCCGCTGCCCCCAGGGAGGAGTGTGGGTGTGGGATCTGCAGGGACCTGCACAGGCCTTGGAGGAAGCGGCTGACATCCTGTCGACTCGAAAAGAAAACTGAAAGTGCTTTCCTCCGCAAGAAACTGCCGTAAGTGTCCCTTCTCTTCTCATGTCCCCAGGTCCGATGGAGTTTCTGTGGGCCAGAGACACGGGTGCGCTGGGGCAGGTGCGGACAGTGGCGGGGACTCAAGGGCGTCTGGGTCGTTCAGCTGCCTCGGGTCCTGCCCTTTGTTTAACTCGGGCCTTGCCACCCCAGGGTGCACTCCGCCGTGTGAGCCGGTCCCGGTGACAGTGAGCTCCTGGCAGCAGAAGCGCATTCCTGCGCGGGTCTGGAGAGGGAGATAGAGCCAGAGCCCAGGCAGGAATGTGAGTATTTCCTTAATTGGACATGAGCGCCTTGAACCAGTGCCAGCTGGCGTGTTTTCCTGTCGGGCCTGGGCCCTCAAGACTCCGTGCAGTTTTCTTTCTCAGAAAAATCCCTTTGGTTCAAAGGCCCCTTGATAGAAATAAAGAAAAAGCCAGGGTCGAAGCGCTTTGATATTTGGGAAGGCACGGGTTTATGGGTTGCCAGACCCCAGGCTTCCTTTGGGGGGGCGAGAGGATCTGGATTGAGAGACGGGCGCCCCCTGAGCTGGGGCAGGGCTGGAGGCGCTGCTGGCTTCAGGGTGGGCTGCAGGGCCCTGGGGGCAAGGATACGAGCATGGTCCTCTGGGGCATTTATAAAAGCGGTTTCTCTCGGCCATGTTAGCATTGAGACCTGAAAGAGAGACCTCCGTTGCCTGCTTGTATTGCTTTTGGAGTCTGGAGCCTAGAGAGGTCAACCCAGTTGTCCAAACACTTTCAGCAAAGTCAAAGCCTGGAGGGCTTTGTCCGGAGGATCTGGGTCCCTTCATGTCGTTGATCGCTAAGTCCCTGATGGCCGAGATGGGCAGGCATGCTCACACCGTCAGACTTCATTCACTCATTCATTCATTCATTCATTCATTGTGTGCCCGGTACTCAGCCAGACACTTCCTGGGAGGCACCACAGATGGAAGAGCTTGTGGAGGTGAGAGGAGGTGCCGGGCCACCGGGGCCCCAGGAACAGCCGCCTGGCCAAGCGTCAACACTCGCCCCTGACTTCTGCCCTGAAAAGCTGGAAACACCCACTGGGGGCTCCAGAAGGAAGCTGGGGGTCCCGGGTGCTGCTGAGTCCCTCTTTCCCAGAACACCTGGGCGCCCACCTGCATCCGCTCCACGCTTCCCAGCCCAGCTGTGTTTCCACAGTATCACCTCATTCTGTTCTCACTTCAACCCACACACATTCTTGGCTTTTAGATTTCTTACGCACTCAAACGAGTTTCACCGAAAAGTTGGCCAGAAACTCCCTTTCTCCTACTCACTACTCACTTTTTTTTTTTAACTCCAAGTCTTTGACTGGTATCTTTAAGAAGCTCCCCGATTCCCAGGGCCGGAAATGTGTCTCTGGGATGGCACCAAGGGTCCTGATCTTTGCTCTCAGAGCCAACACTTTGGAATTCCATTCATAGTTTAGCGGTTAGAACCAACAGGACAGGGAGATGTGGAGCGGGTGGCAGCGTGGGGAAAACACAGGCTTGGGGACAGCAGTCTTAGAGCCCCATTTTGCTTGAGCCACTGGAGAGCCACATGGCCATGGTCAAGCACCTTCTCAGAGCCTCTGTGTCTCCATCTGTAAGGCATCTGAGGTTGTCGTGAGACATACACGTGGCAAGAGATGTGCGTGCACCGTGGTGAGTGTCACCCCGTCTCTCTTCTGTCTCCCCCACAAAGCCAAACAGCGACTTCACAGAGTCCCCGCTGGCCCATCAAAGTGCCCGGGTCACCGCTCCCAGGCCCAGGAGACACAGCGCTGGCTTTCTGCAAGCCAGGGGCAGGTAACATGTGGGGAAAATGTTGCAGCAGGGATTTAGATGGAGGCTCTTTTTTCTTTTCTTTTCTTTTCTTTTTTTTGAGTTGAAGTCTCACTCTGTCATCTAGGCTGGAGTGCAGTGGCACACTCACTGCCACTGCAGCCTCAACCTGCTGGGCTCAGGCGATCCTCCCGCCTCAGCCTTCCAAGTAGCTGGAACTACAGGCATGCGCCACCACGCCTGGCTAACTTTTTTTTATTGTAGAGAGGAGGTCTCACCAAGTTGCCCAGTCTGGTCTCGAACCCGTAATCTCAGGTGATCCTCTCGCCTCTGGACTCCTAAAGTGCTAGGACGACAGGCTTGAGCCACTGCGCCCAGCCCTTTTTTTTTTTTAACTGGATGAATAATTAGCTGCATGTAGTGCATACACAGCCCAGTTGCAAAGGAAGGGACTCCAGTTCGATCTGAATTCACTACCTTCACTCTTTGGAGCTGGGACACGGGACTCACATCACGCAGAGAGTGAAACTCTGGTAATACCTGGGATTTCTTTTTCTTTTTTTTTTTTTTTGAGTTGGAGTCTCACTCTGTCACCCAGACTGGAGTGCAGTGGCCGCTCCCGGCCACCGCAGCCTCGACCTGCTGGGTTCCGGCCATCCTTCCGCCTCAGCCTTCCGAGTAGCTGGAATTACAGGCATGCGCTACCATGCCCGGCTGATTTTTTAATTTTATTGTAGAGATGAGGTCTCACCAAGTTGCCCAGGTGGGTCTTGAACCCACGGGCTCAGGCAATCCACTTACCTCAGCCTCCCAAAGGCTCAGGATTACAGGCTGAGCCACCGAGCCCGGCTGACACCTGGGATTTCACTGAGGAAGAACTGTGAATCAATCCTTTGGTCCCCAAGGACAGAGGTGGAAGGAAGGATGGAATGCAGGGGCTTCTGACTGGGTGACCAGTTCACTGCTCTGCACACAGTAGGTACTCAGTAAATGTTGGCAATGACCTGAGAGTCCAGATCTTGAGTCTGGCCTTCGCTGCTGACTCCTTGGCAAATGCTGGCGAGATGCAGTGTCACAGTGGAAAGAACACGCGGCCAGTCGCTGAAGGCGCGTTGGATTCCAGCAACACCACCTAATAGCCTGGCGACCTCGGACGCGCCATCTAATCTCTCGGGTATCTTCTCACCTGTAAAGTGAGAGTCTGGACTAGGTGAGGCAGGCCTCTTTCAGCTCTCAGTAATTCATTCATTTGTGTCTCTGTTTCCACATTTATTCTGAGGTGTAGGGACAGAAGCCATCCCTCAGGGCATCAGGAAGAAGTGACGGGTGTGTGTGTGCTAGATCTGAAGGAAACGGTGACCTGGAGCCACCTCCGAGCACCAGCCCGGCCAGCCGCTTTGCAGCAACCTGGTCCTTGGCAAATTCCCTGGTGTATGGCAGCCTCAGTTTGCTATCTATAAACTGGGGACTGCAAGCGTTGCTATGATCACCTTATCACATGTTCTTGAAAGCCAGAATAATGGGAATGTTTTGAAAAAACGGGGCGAGGCGCCTTAAAATCGGAGCAGTGAGAAGTGGCATGTTCATTTCAAAATTTTGCACCACACCTCCCAAACTTTCAAAGGAATGAATGTGTCACTGTGGTCCCAGGGGAGAGTGTAGACTTGAGATCACAACCCAAGGTTGATCTTCTTCTTCTTCTTCAGTTGGGGTGTCACTCTGCCCCATGCGATGACATGATCACAATCTCAACCTCCTGGACTCAGTCCATCATCCTTCCACCTCAGCCTCCTGAGTAGCTTGGGCCACCACACCCAGCTAATTTATAAATATATAGTAGAGATGAGGGCTCGCTATGTTGCCCACACTGGTCTTGAGCTCTCGGTCTCAAGCAATCCTTCCCCCTTGGCCTCCCAAAGTGCTGGGATTATAGGTGTGAGCCATCACAACCATTGTTTACTACTTTAACTTACTGACAGAGGTGAAATTTGGCTAAAACGGGCATTAACACCATTTCCCAAAGGGTAGGCCTCAGGTAATTTCTCTGGGTTCTCCAGGGTAGGATCTTTCTTCAGACAACAGATAGCTGCTGGGGGCAGCCTTGCCCCCCAGCCTCTTCTCCAAAAGGAGACCATTTTGACACTTAGGGTATGTTGGCGGGAGGGGGAAAGCTTTCTGAGTTCTGAAGTTTCACGTAGCCATAATCACAAACATATAAAGTGTGTCTGCTGTGTGCCAACATGGGCGAGTCTTTCAGCCCAGGCCTCACCAGGGACTGCAACTGCAATGCCAGGAGCTCAGTCCTGCCCACCCGGCCTCGCTCAGACACCTTCCTCTGAGAGTCGGGAAGTCCCAGCATGGCTTCTCCCTCGGCAGCCCAAGTGACCACCACATGGCACAAACAGTCAGCGACACAGAGGCTCCCACCCTGCCTGGAAGGCACTCCCCAGCCTGCTCCTGGTAACCACACACCTGGAGTACATCCTATTGAGCATCTGTCTGTGAAAGCTTGGCCCTGGTTGGGATGCCACCCTGGAAGGAGCACAGGGGAGGTGGCACTTTGCAGCCCAAACCCACTTCTGGCTTAGCTGGGAGCGGGGATGGGAGGGTGAGGGGGAGGTACGGGAGTGTCTGGATTTCTGTGGTTGGGGGGCGGGGGGCAACTGGGGTTGCCACGATGTTGTGTATGCGTTGAAGCACGCTGCTTTTACCCAGGTTGTATCTATATATATGACTGAAAATAGTGAAGTTTTAAAAAAAATTTATTTTATTTTAGGAAGATGGCTGGGGGAGGGGATCTTGTTGTGTGGCTCTGGCTGGTCTCAAACTCATAGCCTCAAGCGATCCTCCCTCCTCAGCCTATCAAAGTGCTGGGTTTACAGGAACAAGCCACTGTGCCTGGCTGAAGTTATTTTTGATTAAATTATTCTTATTATTTTTATTTGGGTGGGCTGGGGGGCTGGTGAAAACAATGAGAGAGGACCCTGCCCCTCTCACCATGAGTCTCACGTCCCTTTGCTTGAGATAAGTATACATTCCACTTTATTTTTATTTTTGAGTTGGAGTCTTACTCTGTCACCCAGACCGGAATGCAGTGGCCGCTCCCGGCCACTGCAGCCTCGACCTGCTGGGCTCCAGCGATCCTTCCGCCTCAGCCTTCCAAGTAGCCGGAACTACAGGTGCGCGCTACCACGCCCAGCTAATTTTTGATTTATTGTAGAGATGAGGTCTCGTCAAGTTGCCCAGGCGGGCCTCGAACCCATGAGCTCAGGCAATCCACTCACCTTGGCCTCCAAAGTGCTGAGATTATAGGCTGAGACACCGAGCCCGGCTACATTCCACTTTTAAGCAAATATGGGGATAGGTGGGATGGCTCACATCTGTAATCCCAACCCTTTGGGAGGCTGAGGCTGGAGGTTTGCTTCAGGCGGGCCTGGATACCATAGCTCTGTCTCTCCAAAAAGGTAAAATTATTATTATTATTTCCAAAGCTCCCACAGTGGGAGGGGACCCGAGGGGGCTGTTCTACTTTTTTTTTTTTAAAGCACATATATTTGTATTCAGCACCTTCCCTAGTTACCTTTAAAGACCTAACTTTCAAGCAGGTCTAATTTTATTTAGTTTCTGACAGCCCCTGCCCCCTTTCCCCAGCCCGGGACACACACAAGCCGGGTATTAAGAGTCTTTTTCCAGGCGTCATTGAAGCGAAGGCCACAGAGGGGCAGCGCTGGGTCCGGAGTCAGACTCCCAGCATCCCCGCTCTGGGGTGGCGCGGCTTGACGGCCGTACAGACCGGGGCTGAAGGTCCTGGGGGCGTGGGAGGCCTGGTCTAAGCTCTTGTTTTCTGCTGCCCTGGGGCGACTCCTCGGAGCAGATCCGGGAGCCGAGGCCGGTGGGTGCGCCTGGGTGCTCTCACCGTCGCCCGCCCACTGGTTCCGCTGCCCCCGCGCCCACCGCACGCGCGTCCAGCGGAAAAACCCCAGGACGCCACATCCTTTCCCCACACATAAAACTCCCCACGGGCCCCAGGGCTGCAGACCAGCCCCTCGAAAGCCCACTCGCCCCGGCTCTGCGTCTCTCCCCTTGTCCGCTTCTTAGCCACGCTCGCATTTCGGCGCAGCTGGCGAGGAAGAGGGACGTGCCCCGGGCGCCGCGCGCGAGGATTTCAGCCACAGGCCTCCTTTGGGGAATGGAGGCCGAAGGGGGGTCCAGGGTGCGGGTTGGGGACGGCGAGAGAGCGCAGAGGACCAGGGCGGAGGGGTGCGCCCTCCCCGCCCCCGGCGCAGCGCAGTCGCGCACAGTCCAGTCCC